CCGTATCAAGAAAAAATAAAAGAGTTGCAGATTTTTTAAAATAGTTTAATTCACACGCCTGATTTAGAAACTTCGTATGTTTCATTTTTAAAGCAAATTAATTCCTTAAAAGAAAAATTATTATTCATCCATAGTTGGCCAATGGCCAATAATGTATAAAATAACTAATAAAGTTAAAAAAATAAAGATCAATTATTTTCTGAACACCCCTCGTATAACCATCTAAAAACTTAAATCAATAGGAAATAAGTCAATATATCAGAAACAATGTTTTTATGAACCCTTTAAAATGCGTTTGACATGCAAATGTAGACTTTCAAGATTTTTAGGGAATCCCTATTTAGGCGGCCGTGGAATGACGTGTAGAAATCGCTGCGATTATGTTCTAAAACGGCCATAGCCGCCTTTTAACCACTAAATTTTTGACATTTTTTGAAAACGACCTGCCAAAAGCAAAAACAAGTTTGTTTCCTAGTTTTGCAAATGTAAAGTTAGTTATATTCTATTCTATATTGCGAAGTATCGTTTTTTGTATTCAATATTCGATAATGAAAAATCACACACAATATTTTTTCGAACATTTATCAAAACCGACGAAAGACAGTAACAATTTTGTCTCTTCATAAATTAATTTGGCATTTAAATAAAAGTATGTATCGATAAGATCTGAAAATGTGTTTCCTCCAACACTAAGGTCACTGCCAAGGTCAATTCCTTTATGTTAAAAGTATATTAAGCATGCCTATTGTATATTAAAGAAAATAGTGATATAAAAAGATTTTCAAAACTGGAGTTCAGCTTGAAAAGTAAGTCGGTTGGATATCGTCCAAAGTCTAAAATTAAAAAATAAATCCAATCATTAATACTAAAAGCCTCTGATAAACAATATTTATTAATTAAGGAAATTCACGTTACTCAATATGAGGACGATTAATTTCCCTAATTATGATGTTTTTTTTTCAAGCTATTTTAATAATAAACATTCATGAAGATATATATAGAAGAGAAAAGTTACGTGGTTATCATCAAAATTCCGCTCAGCAAGATACATAGAGGACATTAGTTATTCGGATATATTTCGTATTGCATTGCGTCGAAAATGTGTTTTGAGCCATAAATTTTTCCATTGGACATGCTAATGGAAAATATGCCAATCAAGTGGTTGCTATTAATAAAATAAGAACCAAGACTATACGGGTCACTGTTTCAGACGTTCTTCGACGACATTTTAGATGTTTCTGTGGCAGACATGGCTTCCACAAAAACTACATGGCAGTTAGGAGTATATTTCAGTGGTAAAACCGTTCATTTGAAGACTGTATTGAGAATATCCACGAAAGTGGTTGAAGCTTCTGCTCAGTCGTTCACCGAAAAATAAAATTCTTGCATCATAATTGGAGTTCGAGAACAAGGTACGGTCTTAAGAGATTACCCTGCCTCCACGTTTGGAATAACTTAATCCACTGTAATATTGAGAATCACACTTTACAATTTTCGATTCTACTTATATTATTGAAGCAATTAATAAGGAACAGCTGCATGAAAAACATTTTTTTTTTTCTAAAACAAAAAAACATCTTTTTCGTTCCAGTTAACAGAAATAGAATTAAAAAATCAATATTTTGAGTTTTTGAAAAAAATATATATACTTAAATATTTTTTTTGACAAATTAGCTCGAATCAACCCCGTCGGCTACTTCTCCCAAAAAATTATCACATTTTCATCGGAGTAGTCGGCTGCGGTTCGAATTCCCGACGTTCCTTTGTTTTGAGACCGTCCAGGGCCGCCCGGGCTTCCTATTTACGGCGTTCTCGCTCTACGCGTATGCACAAGCCGAAGCACTAAAAACCCGAAAGGAATGGCTTCTTTTTATTTCTGTAGTTTACTGGGGGATCGATAGAGGCGCAATAGAAAATGTAATTTATGGCACGAACAAAGGAAAACAAAGGAGCGGGCGAGGGAAATTGTATAGGAAAATTTATCGAACTATAATTTTTCCTCTGGCCGTTCTATGCCGCTCGGGAAATGGTAATGGGATTTTTTTTTTCTTAGGAAACCGCATGCATAATCGACCAGAAATGTGGATGGGTCTTCGGCACGGAAATGAAAAAAAATCTACCGCAACCGTAAAGCAAGAGATAGCTGAGAATGGCATAATTTTTCTTATATCCGCGAATTGAACTATAGAGGGCGTAGGTAAATAAAATGATTGGCCCCAAACTTTGACGGCAGATTCCGCCCACAAGTTGCAAACAAATGTTTCATGCTCAGTTCATGTATTCGGAATAGAAATTCAAAATTTTTGGAAAAATTTGGCATCAGAAAAAAGGTTGTTTTTCGTGAAAGTTAGAAAAAATTCAGAAAAATTTTAAAAATCTAGGATAATCACCTATAAAGGATTCTAATCACTGTTTGCCAATATAAGTAAATAATTAATACTTATATCATATAAAAAATAAATTATTTGAATAAGGACAGCGAAAATTGAACCATTTCTGCTGATAAAGATTCCGAGTATATTCAGATCATTACGTGAATTTGAAAGAATAATTCGTTCTTCGGAGTTTAGCTTTTTAGTTTGCTTTTACGTTGAAATTGTGTTAAAAAACACTTTATTTGTTGTTTTATTAGTTGAAGAAAACTGTTGTTCCCTTTCGTTATTTTGGATCAAATCGAGAATGTAACAGTTTTTTTAACATTATTTCCCTCTCAGTTTTCTTCCTTAACTGTGTTTTGTAAATTGAAAGAAACTACATCGAATCAAAAACGAATCGTATCGCGACATATTTGTATACATCAAAACTTTTTTTATTAATTTATGACATTGAATTCGCTAACAGAATTTGATCAAATATTTTAACTACACCCTGTATATGTGTGGTTCAAAATACAAATTAACCTAAGAAAATTTTCCCTAGGAAGAATAATTTTCTGCTTTTAAATAAAAACTCAGATAAAACCAAAATACTACTAAAATATTTGTGTAAGTGCAATCCTATCTATACAAAAATCAAAATGATTCATTGTTTTTCTCAAAATATCGCTTACATACCTAACAGAATTTCTGTACTTTAATTTACCGGGATACCTACTTTAATTCGAATGTTTATAATATTCAAAATGTCACATTTTAGCTTAGAAATTTTTTTAAATAAAAATGACGAGAAACATTAAATAGAAAAATAATATTACTAAAGCTTGTAATTATGCATACTGTGGCGATTAACAGTGCTTTTTATGCACTCAAACTTTTTTCTGTCCTACTACGTTTCAGTTGGCAACCTTTTTTCTAATTTTACACAGAAAATTTCTAGTTTCTTACACGTTTTTACATTTCTCGATGTTTACAAGTCGTATGCCAAAATTCTGGGACATTTTCCGAGTATTCGTTCTAATCAATACTGTTAATTGACTGTTTCTATCAAATATCTTAATCCTGGACGTGGAAATTATTTAAAAAATAAAGCATGGAATAGTTTTACACAAAAGATAGAAACGTTCGTTGGAAAATATATCAAATTGTTTGTTAAAAACTCGTCTACTCTACCATCAAAACCAAGCATGCTTAATTGACTGGATTTATCAAATAAGTTAGGCCTGGGCATTGGAAAATATAAAAACACAAAGCATGGAATAGTTTTATAGTAAAATAGAAATTCTTTGAAAATAGATGTAATTATAATAAATTATCTTGCAATTTATTCGATACATTAAAATTCTCATAGGACATGCTATTTTTTAATTTCAAGTAGGTAGTCACTGAGACTAATATGAAAATTAAAGAAAAAAAGGGAAAAACATTTATTTTATCTCGGCGTGTACATTTTTATCTTAAAGCAACATTCAGAAAATCTTATGTTCCATTTTGTTATTAAACAAACATAATACATTCTTGTCTCAATAATGGTTAACTTCATGGGTTTTGTGTCAAAAAGCAATTATTCGACCTATTATATGTAACTGCATAATTATATAATAAATCTACTAAAAAAAATTAATTCATGTTTTGCGTGACATGTAAATATATAGGCATATCGCTAGATTGCAGGCCCGTTGCGTAAAGAAAAAATTTCACAGATTGATATAGTTTTTCTTTTTCTGGCACTAGCTGCCCTAGAAATCATAATATACTGACGATCTGACTGTTTCCGATTTCAAAAAACGGGAGATAATTCGGAACATATGGCTACACCTACACGATGGTTTTAGCGGAATGTCGACCTATCCGACTGTAAAACTAAACTTGTAAAATAATCTGACGAAATTTCAAGATATTTCGGTAAACCCGCTGTTTTTCTGACCTTTACATAGATATAAATTTGGACCACCGATGTAGTTGTATATTAAAATATATATATATCCAAATTTATTATTTTATAAGAAAATAAATGGGAAAATGTGTTCTTTATACCTAACTCTTAGTTAACATTTATTTATCTAGTAGCTGTTGTAAAATAAAATTTCACGGAAATATTGTTGCTATTAAGTTTTCATGCAGTTGAATGTGATTACTTGGCAAAATACGAGAATATATGAAACCCAAGTTGAATATGTAGTAGCAGCACCTATTTTTTACATGTGTAGAAACTATCTACTAAAATTACACTGCATTATTATTACGTTTTACAAAGAAAATTATTTTACTTTTAGGGACTCTTAAGTGTACAGAACGTTTTCTAGTTTTCATATATTTCCATCGCGTCGCAAGTTGTTTCACAAACTAAAATGTCGATTCTAGCATTTCCGTCTGGATTTTTGCCACTTAAACGTACGAAATCAGCTAATAAACTTCGTAATTTGCATTTTTCTAACAAGTTTCGAAAGAGACTCGGTATTTCGCTAACCTACTTGATTTAAGAACACTTTGCTTGCATTTTTACCCCGATTCTGTATTAGAAACGTACCTACAATGAGTACAATGTTTCTAGTCTGCTATGAAGAGTTGTTTATAAGGAATTTGGACTCTGGCCCAGCACTTTATTAAAAATGGGGAACTTACCTATGATTTTGTGGTTGCCTTTGAGGGTATGACATTGTATTAGTCTGAACTGGCCCATGATCAATCCTCATGGAAATTTCCATAGCCTACACATTTAAGCACAATTTTTTAAGAAAAACTCACAACTACACCCAGCAGCCACATCATTGTACCATCACAATTTGTTAATGTTTCGTTGTGCTCTTGTTCGCGGCGGGTTTTTTAGTTTAAAAGTCCCATTTAGAGTGCACTGAAACCATTCTACATGTTGTACCCCGACTTTTCTACGGTGAGACCAAAAATTAATAAATAAAAATCGAGATCCGTTAGTTTTAATGCATGCCACGTAGAGTATTCGTTTCCACTAGAATTTACCCAGCGCGGTAGTAAAACAGTAAAACGACTTATCACAATTTTGGCGATATTTTTCTATAAAAAAAAACGTGTTTAGTGCCACAAACGTGGTAGATTTCGTACCGTTAACTACACGGACAGCGTCGCTTCGAACACATACACTCCGTCACTGAATTTCCCACAAAAAAACGTCTCAAAAACTTTATTGTCTGCTGTTTTTACAGTTTTAGACACAGAAAAATACAAATTCTATATTAAATCAACTGCTATAGCGCCATATTCGACATCTTGGTTTAAGTTTAACGTGAATCGCACGAAAACAGGTCCGGGATAGTCTATGTTGGCCAGTTCGGGGGGAGAACGCCCGGTCTGACAGAGACGAAAGCAAAACAAGCTACGACGCGACGCAGCCGCTCTAACGGCGAGAGCCACGTCACCCTCACGGCAATTTAGAATATTCCCGGGCTTGTTCCACACGAAAAAATTAACACGAACCATTCAAATACATGCAAAAACTACGTTAGTCGAAGAAATTCATAAGCATACTTCGGAGTACAGACGGAACCCCGACCATAACAAAAATAATAAATAATCGACGTACTTCGTAGAGTTCATGTTAGCAAGAATCCATTTGAGTGTATTCGCTTTTCATTTTTGGACCCAGATAGAACGGGTGGGAGCGAGACGGAGAGAAGACTGTTAGATTAAAGGGGATAGCTCCGAATGATTCGTGAAAAAAATACATTTTAGGCAGTGTTTTTACTGGGGAGGAACAGTACAAAGAGAAAAAAATGTTGTCGAGGAAGCTCCCCGCATTTCTCTTTGGCTTGCAAGGGGCGAACTTAATTTAGGGCAAATGCCACTACAGAATGCAAAATAAAAAATACCCACCTAATGCCTGTAGTTATTAAAAAAATATTATTGTACCTGTTTTTCCCCCCTTCATTTTCCATTTTATATGGAAAAATCGTGCTTCTACATATGCTTCGTAGGAACCTATGTAAGGTAGGTAAATTTCATCCTACAGTAGGTAAGCTTCATGGTTTGGAGGCAACTATTTTCGACGGAGGCGGTTTTCTTTCACATTTTTCGATACTAAAAATAGCCCAAAATATGCCTAGCGTGTAGGTAACTACCTAGGCCACATTAAACGTATTATTTTTCGGAGAATCGTTGCTGAAAACTAAGAACGCCGAGTTATGTGGGATTAAAGGGGAACTACCAATACAACAGTTTGCTAATAACAACACACTAAAGCCTTTTCTGTCCGTCTGTAACTTGATTATGACGACTGTTTTTGAAAAAGTCGTCTTAAAAGTTGCTATACAGTCTTTCTGTAGCGAAAGAATGCCAACATTTTCTTTTTAAGCATCTGGTACGTATATAGGTACCTACCTAGGTACTTGGATAGGACCTAGCTGCTTATCGAAATTGTCTTGTATCACTCTAAAATAGGTAGGTACCTTAAAATGTTTCAACTTTTCAGACAGAAATTATCACTAATAGCTGTTTTACATTGACAATTGATTCATCGATAAATTGACGAAGTTCTTCATCAATTAATTCACGAATTTATTGGTAAACAGTGTGGTTTTACACTGCTACAGACTGTCAAGTTTTTTGACGTATGAATCAGTTCTACCAATGAATCAAAGAAGCAAATAAATTTCAAAAATGTCACCTTTCCACTCATAATTGTAGTGATACAACAGCGGTACCGTTCTGACACATATTATATAAATATTAGTTTTTGTAAGTAACAAATCAGTAAAAACAATGCAAAACTAGCACGACGCCACACAATTATTTACATATTCCAATAACATAACCTCATTACTGATCTGAGGCTGGAAATCTGTTGGGTTGGTACTTCCGAACTTCACGAAGAAATTGACGAAAATTAGAACATGCTCTAATTCGTCAAGAACTTGATGAATAAATTGATGAAGTTATTTGACAGCTGATTTGGTGCATTACACTTGTCCAATTTCTTGATGAAGCGACTTCATCAATTAATTGATCAATAAATTGTCAATGTATCTAAGTAATCATTTAGAAAAAAAGGATTTGTCGAATAGTTTCATTTAAAAACCTAAATTCAGTTGTTTGAATTTTCACTCATGTTTACAATACCTAGTAGGTACTTACTTACTTAGAATAAGGTACACAAGTCATTTTTTATGATTTTGTCGTCAAATACCTATGGTTCAAAGTTCAAAGCGATACATAGGTAGGTATTTACCCTCATATAATACCTATATTTTTTAGATGCTTGCCCAAGTAGGTACCTAATCCCTATTACATACCTATTAGATATTAATATATTTTTCAAACATACTGCATTCCACTATGTTTTCGCCTCCTTTTTGTTTGTAGCTCTTTTGTCAGATATTTTTACTTGAAAATAGATAAAAACTACATTTTAACGAGATGTAATTATAATAAATTATCTTGCAATTTATTCGATACATTAAAATTCTCATAGGACATGCTATTTTTTAATTTCAAGTAGGTAGTCACTGAGACTAATATGAAAATTAAAGAAAAAAAGGGAAAAACATTTATTTTATCTCGGCGTGTACATTTTTATCTTAAAGCAACATTCAGAAAATCTTATGTTCCATTTTGTTATTAAACAAACATAATACATTCTTGTCTCAATAATGGTTAACTTCATGGGTTTTGTGTCAAAAAGCAATTATTCGACCTATTATATGTAACTGCATAATTATATAATAAATCTACTANATAATAATAATAATAATAATTTATAAATTTCTTGTTAAACAAAGAAGTTCTTGTTTAAATTTTCTTGTTGTTGATACAAATAGCCCAACCAAAGAACAACGCTTCGCGTTGTACAACTTGCACGCGAGTGACAGTTGCAAGTATATTGCGCAATAAATGTCGCGCAACTCTTTAAATTCAAACGATATAAGGTCATTCGAAAGCATTTTCATTCCCGGAAAAATAATATAAACAGGAAACCATTACACAGCGTTATCATTTTTGCGGTTTTAGACTTGGAACATCCTTGCTAGCCGCCGTCGTCCTTCTTCCTGGGTTTGAAGAAACCCGGACGCCAATGACTCGGTCCCGCTTCTATCGATCGACGTCAAATACAGCGGGAAGGACTCACATTCACAAAGATATAAATTATTACAGAATTTTTAAATAATACACTCCGGTATCGACCTGAACACATGTGGACGGACTCGAAATAGAAGATATATTCACTTATTTATTCCTTTGACGGAATTGATTGACAGATTTCCGTGAGCTGGGAACTAGTACACGTAAAATATGGATTTAGCTTCGGTGGCAAGCTGTGATGGGTGCTTTTATTGCCTCAACTTCTTTTAGAAATATAAAATATTCCAAGATCCCATAAAAATACGTGTAACATCGTTCATTATTAATTGAAACTAATGAGCTGATCCTGCGTTTCTCTGTAGATATATTTTTCCATAAACTCGTAAGTAACATATTTACAGAATCATAAATTATGCAATTCTTGAACCGTCCCTGTAACGATGCTAGTTAGAGAGGTGCAAATGAACTACTGCAACTTCACTACATTGAATTTACGGTTGACCTTAACCTTAAAAATTACTTTGTTTACCTACAAACATTGTATTTGAATACAGAATGAGATGAGACATATCTATTAAAAATAGATTATAGGTTTTTTATATCCGTAAAATATAAAAATATAAACCTTATTGGTAACTGCACTGGCCTTATATTTTTATAGTCGTGGTAAATGTATTAAAGAGACTGATGATGTAGTTTCTGTAAGCTACAGGTAGCGCAGAATTGTAAGCTTACAAAAAGTTACAGGTTTGCTTGCGGGTATTTGCAGAATGGCCCTTAAATTTAAGTTTTTAAATTCGGGGCCCTAAGTGGATACTTAATGTATACCAATTTTTTATCTAACAAACTGATAAGGATATTGTCCAAATCACATTAATTCGCACATGCCGATACTTAGTTTGTACATTTTCTAGTATATGTACTGCAATAATTAACACTTGTTTTTATTTTAAATATTTGAATAAGTTACAATATACAGGGTGATTCACAACTTATCCAAAAAAAAATTAGAACAGATGCACCATGAAAAATTAAGTTATATCGTAAAAAAGATTTTTGTTCAATCTTTAGTTTCCGAGAAAAAAATTATTAAGATTATTGAAGTTGTAGTATTTTCAACCCTTACATCGTTGGGCTACTCTGTGTAGTCTCTAGCGTCATTCACGTTATACGCACTCTCCAGGCGTGGTCCAAGGGGGATGGGGGCATGGAGGTAATCCCCCCCCCCAAATAGTTCGAAAAAACCCAAAAGCTCCATACGCCACAATATTATAAAACCAAAGAGTCCTTTACTGAAATTCTAAACTCCAAGCTTCTAAATATACCTACTCCACGGGCGAACCGAAAAAGGCATCGTCTAGATCTAGAATTTGCCCTTTGAAGCAACCAAATCAAAGATCAAACAATAAATTGTAAGATTAAAATGTTTCTGTTTAAAAAAAGTCTCAGTTTTCTTGACTGCATAACTTTTTTTTTAGTAAAATAAAAATGAATAAAGATTATGCCTCATTTTTCCAGATTGCATAACCTTTTTTCTTAACATCAGCTGTACAAACGCCCCCCTCAAAGTCCACCTCTGGATACGCCCCTGGCTCTCTTTCCACGTAGCCCCAGACGATTCCGAACACCGAAATCCGATTTTAGCAGTGTTAACGTTTTGTGATAGTGTTTACATTAATTTATCAAGTGTCAAAAATGGCTTACGTGTATAGCAACTCGAGTTGATGGACATCGTTTTAATTTATGGTGAAGCAGAACAACATTTGTGTTATGGTGAAGATAGGTGTTTGTTCGTAGAAACTGTGTAAGACAGGTCCAAATATATTTACACGTCGGTGGACAAAATTTGGAACAGTTATTGTAACATCAGGTGTGTCAAATTATTTCATTAATTAATAACGGCAAAAGCAGTTGCATTTGTTGATATAAAATGGGTGTTATGAAATTTTATTTATTTCTTTTCTTAGGAAAGAAATTCTTTCAATTTTTTGTCGGTCCATTTTTTATTATACTTTGCCTTGCGCAACGTCAGATTTTACAGTGGACCAGGTCCCAGTGCCGTGCAGTGTATTTTTAAATCATTTTCGAACTGTCCCTTTTGATTTTTTTTTACAAAATTTATTTTTTATTTTTTTTTATATATAAGTTCTGAATATTGCAGTTATAGACACCTTTACTTAAGTATATGTATAATGATTTGTAGTTTACGTAATGACTAATTTTTATTGCAAAAGTTGGTAGCCTT